TCACCAAAGAGGAAACGTCATCCAAACATCAGCATACTGTATTTCCTTGTGAAAACTTGACCTACTGTAATCATTAGTCCACACGCCTCATGCACCTCTCTATGCAACTAATCATGCACACACACACTCAATTACAAGTCAACATATAAATCGACTTCAAATTGCGATCCTTACCAATTCTAAAGCGATCTCGTTCCATACTCAAAAGCAACGGCTGAAAATCGTTCGGCTACTCGTCAACACTGACTGCAAACGTCTTGAGAATGAATGAAACATATGCAGAGTTCGAAAGTAAACGAACATAGCGCGACTGAGTGTGAGATAACGAATAAATTACGAATATGAACGAATTCTTAATGGATGCGGAAGGATTTTCTAGGAAAGCAACGAAACACTTCGCAATAATGCTATGCCGTGGGGTGACGAATGGGCTGGCTGAATCGATGTTTCGATATTAATGATTCATTCATTTCAAACGGTATCATTACAGTGATTAATGTTCGCTTTACGTTGGTGAGAGATTCAGAAGGGAGGAAGACGGGAAACACCAGTGAACACTAACACTTCAGTACGAAATTGTCCGTGTCACAGAAGCTCGCAACTAGGCGAGAAACTATCAGTGGAAGGTGATGAGTATAAAATAGTTGGAGTGTAGCAATCTCATCTTTAGATTTGACGAGAAATTGCACCATCAATAGCAATAACGATGATACTGCTTATTAAACTGTCCATAGAAATATCAATAACTACAGTAATAAAAACAACTATATTCCCAAAATGATATCAGTACTACGAGATCTAGACGAAATGATGATAAGAAAACAGATAATGGCTACAATAAAGTGATGAAGTAAATAATGATAATGGCAATAGTGACAATAATAATGACATCAATAATGATGATGATTAATTATGTATTTCTGAAGAATTGAAATCATAATCTGAATTATCTATTTCCGAAGATTCGAAAGTAATTATGAATTCCGAGATCGAAATCATACAATACTAAAGATTTGAAAAAGAGTAACCATGATGTAATAATAATTATTATTATAATTCTAATAATGAAACCAGTGATGATGATATTGAATGTAATAGCACTAATAGTAGTAATAGTAACAGAACTGAAACAAAACATTTTTGAATGGGAACGGAATCAATGATGAGAATGGTGAGTGAGTGCAGTGAAAAGTGTCAATAAGTTGAGAAATGCTGAATAATTGCATTGAATGTGAAAAATGGAATACGAGAATGAATTTGAAATTGAACGATAGAAGTGATGATGATACGAGTGGAAATCGATGTGAATGCGATGATTTGGAGAGGACAGAAGAAAAGAGACAATGAGAACGCACTGAAATAACAAACGAACGTGTGGACAGCGCATACAACAAACAGCAAATTGTTTGCATTTTGAAGTGAAATGCGGAAGTGAATAACGCATTAAATCATCAAAAGCATTTCCGGTTTTGTCGGCAATTGCAAAATGATGTCGCTGCTGCTGCTGCTGCTGGTGACCGAATGCAAGGAACTCTTTGCATTCCTACATTTATCACTTTTTTTTTTGAATTTCATTGCGATGGTTCAATCCTTTTTCTATTGCAATCAATGAGAGCGCAATCATAAATAACAACGAGAAAAATGCATATTCATTCACATTGTGTGTCGTCTTTACTTGTCGTCGTCGTTCGCTTTTGATTGCAAACGCATATTGCAAACAATCTGCACGTACATCCGCATACGATGGATTTGATTTTAAAATCGAATTTTTTTCTTCTTTGACAGGATGGACACTTCCGTTATTGTTGATTAACAGTGGAATTGAGCAGATTTTATTGGGAATGAATGGAATATTTTGATGATGAAATGCGAGCAGTTCGGGAACAAATCTAGGAAAACTTTCTTCTAGAAATCAACTGATCTTTTCAGTCGTTTCGATCACGCTTCTTGTCGTCAATGTTGAAATGATGAGTGCATGAACACAAAAGCGCATTATTCTCTGCGCATAATGAACAATTCAGTTCGCTGTTCATGCCATTTTATTTTCATTCTGATCTTTGCTTGAGGCAGAACTGATGTGAGTGATACTTCCTGACAACAGCATTAGGATTTCGTACAATTCTCCTTGAAATTTTTTTCCTCACTTTAAGTCTAACTGATAATGGATGAATGAATGTGATGTGATGTGAATGCGTTTCGGAAATGGAATGAAATGAATAATCGAGAATTTAAACGTAAATTAGGATATTGGATGTAGGATGGAATCGAATTCTCGGATGGATTTCTGCCTAAAGCGAGAATGATGGATATCGCTGAAGAAGGAATTGAGAAAAAGAGGAAAAGAAATGAGACGGATGTTAATAATGGTTATGTGAAACGATGCACTGCGTTCATTTTAAGTGCTTTCATAATCATCAAATACGTATTGTTCTTGAAAAATATTCATTGGAGCAATTATTGACGAGATGGCGTAATTGCAGTGAATAAACAGAAAAATGTAATGAAAATCATTTTTCTTACCTTATTATCTTCTGTAAAATGATTTTATTTAAGAACGAACCAGCAAAAACTGCTGTTTTCTGCGTTCGAATGCAGCAATCAACTTGCTAGTCGCATGAATTTGCACACAAATTACGCACGAAAATCAAACGTGAACTATACACTCGTTGTTGTTCGTACAACCGAAAGCATACGATAAAGTTATATTATTCCTTGCACGGAACAAAAGGTTTTACTCTCATGAAACCAGAAAGAATTTTCAGTCTGCGTCATCAATCGACCGGCATAACCACCCGCTAACCTATAGCGATGCTAACGACGAGATTTTCAAACAAACGACACAAGAATCGTTTCGAAGCAAGATGCAACAACGTTCAAATGATTTATGAGTGGAACGAATGATCGATTACCTATCAACTTCATAAAAGACAAATTAATGAGATGGGTGAAGAATGCATTAGGAATTTTGTGGGCTCAAATTGATGAAAATTGTGTTTTGAATTGGGTTGATTGTCAAGAGTGAATTGTGATAAATAGGCGATATATTTGAGATAGGTGAAGATGAACAATCACAAACACATATCTCTAAGCCACATGATTTTCGGTTTATTCGCTTCAGAAAGAACTGAATGAAAATGATCTACGAAAAATCCGTTTTCGATAATTCACCAACCGAGAACACCGCGGTGAAGTGAGAAGAAAAATCATGGTGAATAGCGATGACAATTAAGAACGAGCATTTGTCAAACAATTGTCAAAAAATTTGGAATCCGAGTAGCGATGAAGTTATCGGGAGAACTCGGTGAGGAGAATGCTCAGCCAAAGTGCACTTGAATGGAAANAGAAAAATCATGGTGAATAGCGATGACAATTAAGAACGCGCATTTGTTAAACAATTGTCAAAAAATTTGGAATCCGACTAGCGATGAAGTTATCGGGAGAACTCGATGAGGAGAATGCTCAGCCAAAGTGCACTTGAATAGAAATTTTAATGAGGAATGAAAACTGCAACAAACCCGTAAGCCAAGGCCATGTAGTGAATGAGGATTGTGGTGCTAACACAGATGTGACTTTGTTGTTCATAGCAGCAGCGGGTAGTGTCGATGTATCGCCGCTGAGTGATGAATCTGGCTCTTGGCCTAGGCTACTGTCCGGACTTGACGACGACGAACTCAATTCGCACATCGCTTTTTGTTTCACCATCAGTTTTTGTAGAGTGTTGAAATTGGTGTCTTGGAGTGGCAATGACGTAGTTGCCTTAAACGTGCAGCAAAATTAGCAAAAGTTCGAAATCAGTTGTGAGCTGATGACTATCATACAGCCGATATCGTGCAGTAGACCATTGAACACCTCATTCGATCAAATTATTAAAGAAAACAACGATCGATGAATGATAACGTTCTTATCGAGAAATTGTGATAAATGATTTATTACGTTCAGTCAACAATTATCAACACTAGTCAACATCTGCAAACTCGCCATCAAATTACATAACCAAAGATTAAATACGGAAAGCACAGAGCACCCGTTTGCTTCAGTCTGCGACAATAAATCATTCACTTATGCTTATGCGATGCACGAAAATGAGTGCTGATTGAGAAGTACACATCAGAAGAATTCAATAGAGGGAATCAATCGTACAAGTAAATTTTCGGAACAACTTTATCAACTGATAGTAGTTGTGCATGAGAAAAGGATAAAGAAAAGGCGGAAATGAGTGAATGAACAACGCGTATGTGTATAGACGAACGATAGAGAAATTGCATGAGAATATGCATCCGAAAACGACTATAGGGTTGACTATACGAAAGGAATGAAGGATGTAGGGATGAGTGCATGGCATGATTCCGTTCGTCTGGCTGTATTCGAGAGGCATTCATCTGTCCGGGAAGTGAATGTACTAAGAGATTAGTTTAACGTTCTTTCGACAAAACAATAGAGAAACACTGAATAATTCTTACTCAGCACTTACTGGCTTTCATAATGAATCTGCGGAAGGAGTGTATTTTGAGTTCGTTGCAAATTCAGTGTGCATGAGAGTGCGAAAGCAGCAAAGTGCGCAGTTATCGTTGAAAGGATGACAAAAACAAGATTCTAGAAAACGGATGAGCAATTTTGCATGATGAGAATTATCGTAATCTGCGCATAACGGGAAACACGGAGGGATGATGATCACAGAAGCGACATTCAGTGACACCACAAGATCGTATGTTTATGAAAAGATATGAGTGCAGACTGGAGAAGGAGAAGAGACAAGTTCCTTTGAATATTATGAATCAATGATGATGATTTGATGAGTTCGTCGAGTTTTCAGCTTATTCACCACATGAAAAAAAGTTGCTACTGTTACGATTATTCCTGCTTTTCTCTTCATGAATTCTATCAGCAAATCTTACTCCTCAATCAAAGGAAAGCGGAACAGAGAAAAAAAAGTGATGTTGACCTGTTCAGAAAGAAGTGACGATGCACGCCATAATGTTTTGGGCATGGATGACGTATGCTGAATGGTACTTGCGTACTGCGCACGAGGTCTTTCAATCGTTGGAGTGCTATGTTTCGGACGTGTTGCTGCAGCATGCGAATCAGCATATTTGATGTGAATGTTATCGTCTAATTGCAAGCTGCTATCCTCAGTGCTGCAATTGTCCATTGTCTCGTCAACAGTCGATGTGGGCAGATAGTCTTGCAAACTCACGACCACATTGCTGTACGATGATCGACCTTTGTGATCGCTGAGAAGAGAGCGAGCCGTGTCATCAGTTTTAATTCGCTTTATTCGTACTTCTGAATCATCGTCACTGTTAACCACACGACATGTTAATGATGATTCATCAGCTGATGTTCTCTTGCAAATCACAATACCCTCATCATGCTTCACATCCGCTGCTACTGCCGTTGATTCATGTCTCACATCCGCATATCTGTAACGCTTCAGAACGCTTCCAACTCTCAACGAGTTCTCAACTTCCATCGACGGTCTTCCCAAAGCGACCAATGGAACGAATGAGCGCCGGATCTAGTCGGATCTGATGTCAGCTGAGTTTATAACTTATGATCGGATGAATGATAGTAATAATAGCGATGGGGTATCAGTATAAATAAGTGTTGGGTGATAACTGAAATCAGTGAATAAGCAATGATGGGACGTTGAATCAAATGAATATTCAGATTGTAATGACTGATTCAATGAGGAATCAAGAGAACAAGAAGACGTGACCAACGATTTGCTGTTGATGATAATATATCGAGTGGATTTCTGATCGAAATCAGAATATTCAAATCGTGTACAATCCACTAATATCACGAACACCTCACCTCAAGCGACGGTAAATATTCAGTCGACCACAATTCACTTCTACGAAGACACAGACAGACCAAACCGCTTTCTGCTCCGCCTTCGAACTGAGATCACTGAAACGATGAACACAACCGATTGAACGAATAAATGAATGCACAGTGACTCTTCTAGAGGAGATCCCTCACTAATGCTCAATCAAAATGACATTCAGACATCAAAGTTGGTTGCTATTGCTATATGTGCAAATTACGAAAGATTCATATTGAGTAATCGGTGAGAACAGCGATGTTTTTGGTGCGATTGAACGGTTAGTATTGAGAAGTGGTCATCAACTCAGGTGAACAAATGAAAATAACGCATTACGGCTACTAGTTTCTTTAGATGGTCATTTGATCAGTTGCTCGAAAAGGAATCGTCTCGACAGTCAACTCAGTTGAATCACCTCTTATTTACTACCATTCGAAAGTTGAATGGCTACAAACCGAATAATACTGGAAGAGATGAATTGTTCGGAGATGTATTATAATAAGAAATGGATGAGAGATTGTTGAAATAATGTTTGTGTTCGAATAAATGACGAATATTAATGCGAATAATGGGAACGGAATGTGAGGAAAACGGTTATCCGGCTGGATTTAATGTGATGACGAGAGAAGACAATGATTATCGAGGGACGGATATAAGAGAGTGCCTGTGTCTCAGTACATATCTTTAACTATATCTCTGTTTATACGAATCGTGACCAATGTCCACTCGACACACACACAAAACACCCTAAGAGGCAGTCGGCTGACACCAACACAACAATAATAATAAATAGCTAACTGACCACATGTTCGCTCGTTCGTTCACTCGTTCTCATAAACCAGTAAGTAAATCCGACGTTATGTCAAACGGCAATCCTGCCGTACTGAATCACAATAAGTCTGTCGTTATTTCTCTGAGTCTCGTCGCATCGTTTGCATTCAAATCAAAATGTAAACATACACTCAATAAATAGCAACATTTTGACTCGTGCCGATATTTTCATTTCTTTTTGAACGTCGTCTTAAATTGAACATTTACCATTACAGACATCGCCATTTACACCAGACATAATTTATTTACACACTTCAGGTCGTCGTCCATTTCATTGCAAAATACAACCAACAATCAACGGTAACGTACAATAAAATTTATATAAACATCAATAATGCTAAGTGAAAAAACGTTGACAACAGCAATTTCAATAGCAGTGACAATATTAATGACAACAATTGCAGCAATAATGAGAACAATAATGATAAAAATCAAATGAAAGAGTAACTCTCATTGTGTGAATAAACAATAATTTTGCATAAAAGATAAATTCTGCAGTTTTTGCTTCAGAATTATACGTTGGATGTGTGCAATGACTATTTTATGATTTGGAAATACTCAAGGTGTTCAGTTGGAGGACGGCACATTAAAGCAAATAATTCCATTCTCGTCAGTCAGGTGAGTCAATGAAATTTCTCGAACCAAGACAATGATGACAATAATGTGCAGTTCTCTGATTCTTTATTTATTGAATGCAAAAAATAAATTAATCAAACCACTTTTCTCGTAAAAATAAAACAACCCAAACGATCATTACGGCTTCCAATCAAAGCCCTGTAGACAATGCACTGTGCTTGATCACAAAATTTCTCCTGCATTATCAGCACACCACCGAACGTTTCTGTGTTCTGTGAAAGTATCAAATCAACACTTCGAATCAATTTGTTCACATTTGCTTCCGACTGATTAATGGTGTTAGATGAGTCAGATGCATGTGAAGACGACAATTCTATGCTGTTTGCTAAAGATGATTTGCTGTTCAGATGCCGAACAGATGAATCCGTTTGCCGTCTGATCTCGACCCGATGAGCTGGATTCACCCTTTGAATCAGTTCATGATCATCTTTGGATCGCAAACTCTCAGCTGTGTTCGTTGAATGCGGAGATGTGAAGTTAATCTCATTAAACTTGAGCTCAAATAGTTGTCCAGTGGTATTCAATAAGAATAGCGTGTCAATACTCGTGTCAATAAAAGGCGATCGTACGAATGGAGATGAACCAATTTTGAGATGAACTAAGACGGCTAATGACTGCACATGAATGATGATCACTGAACTGTTTTGTGTTACAACAACACCGATTTGCTTGCTGAGCATCACAGGCGCAGCGAAAACGCCTTCTTCAGTTGCGATCTGATCGATCTGAAAAACTTGCATTTGCATTGAGAAATTACTGGTGAAATATTCTATTGGGACGCTCTGCTCTTATTGTCAAGTGGAATGCATTTGTAGGAAGAATATATTGATATTTTAGAATATATGGATATTTTAGCCATGATGAAAAACGCTCAAAATCTATTCGCAAATATTGAAAATTCAATTTTACGCGTAATTCTGCACTTCCTGAATTCTTTGACGAATGCATATGAAAAAAAAAACTATTTCAGCACCGTTCACGGATATTTTCTTTCACGATAATCGTTTCCATTGAAACGCAATAAAATGTATTGATGCGGAAGAAACAATTCTTCGAAAATTTAAGGTTTCGTTCATCTGAATAAATTTTCTCCTTGCGCACATTCGAATCGCCTTCATAATGTGTTCCTTCTCTGTCAAACATTCATCTTAATTGAACGTTTCATTTGTTCGTTCGTTTTCTACGATTCAAATTATTATATTCATATTGCAATAAACGAACCGTTTTCAATGCTGCCATTATACATATTGATCGTTGCACAAAACCTGAGACTATGCCATCGAAAATTTCCAAAATTTTCCACACCCCCAGGCAATGGAAGAGATGAGTGGGAATAACTGATATTCGTATGACATTCATTTGCTCATTCAGCTTCACTTATCTCTTCACTCATGTGATATGCAGTCATTCGGCTTATTGTTAGAAATGAACACTGTGAAGTGACTGAATTTTATATCAACATATGATATTTTTAGATAAAGATTACAGAGAGATCAGAAAAAGGATTTACTGATGAATGTTTCACGTTTCTTTCCTCGCCAAATTTTATCGCGAATTGACATAAAAATATGATCAAAAACTTTGTTCCGTTAGCAACTGAAGTGAAAACTGTGCGAAATATGATCGTGTTTGCTCAATGGATCTGAGAATGGTTCGCGATTCGAACACAATTTTTCACTCGATTGCCGTTTAATTAAAAATTCACGATTGAATATCACATGAAAAATGATTTGTTAAGATTTCATTATGAAACCTTATGAAATAAAATGATCAGTCAGTTTTCGCAGCAGTTGAATTTCAACAGATAATCTCCTTTGGAGATCTGTTTGCTTTGTTTTGAAACGTATGAATCGGGATTGTCAAAGTGTATTGATATAGTGAACAGTAAATTGTGCAAATGTTCAACATTCAGTGAAATTCGAAACCTAAATTAAACGACAAAACTGAGGCGAATATGCAAGAGGCAACACATTCTGGATGCATCGGTCCAGTACAAGAACAAATAAATGAACAAAAAAAGGCAAAAAACAATCTTAGAAGAAGATTCAAGACTGAATGTTCGTTGCTGGAGTAACAGATCATAAAGATGGACCGATGGAAGAGAATGTGAGAGTGTGGTCATTGCTGAGAGTGTGTGGTTTTTCCTCTAGAAGATGGCAGTTAGCATACGAGAGTGGAATCAAAAGGAATTCTGCTCTTGTACCAATGAGTCACTGAACAAGAACGAACTGTTTTCTTGTTTCGAGCAAAGTTTCAGTCCGTTCAGAATAATTATTTTACATTCTTTATCACTATCACCTCTCGAGAAGTGTTCTTCTCGAGAGCATTTCTCGCCAACTGAGTGCAGTGGTAAATTGTTCTGAGCTGTTTGTGAGCTATTATCGCAGAAGAGATTTTCGATTTTCAGTCACATCAAAAGCTTTCCAATCAAAAATTCTCAAACAAAACATCGCTCACATTCGAATTCGACAACGCTTAGTGGCCTAATGCTTCTTGCATTTGAATGGAAAGCTTTACGAAACTTCACGAGAAGTAGTTTCGAGTGCATCTATTCTTCTAACTAAAGTACCATAAAGTTCAAAGCAAAGAGATAGCTTTTCAAAATCCAATGTTACAATTTTCAACCTTTTTACAGCGCATTTCATACTGGTACAAAAAATGCTACACTAATGCTGACAATCTCAAAATTGTCAAGTTCAACTGCTAATAACTCAAAACTCTGAATTCTCAAAACTCTATAAAGTATCTTCTTTGATTAGTTAACACATTGCAAACAGTTGATATTGACGACCGCACTGAAACAACTGAGAGGAGAATTTCGTGGAAATAAAGAGATTCGCATGATATGATTGTTTACCTTCATTGCCGTGAATGGTTCATACGAATAGATATTCCCTTTTACGTCGACAATCAACAATTTTTCTACATTGCCATCATCCACCATCAAAGGTGACGCAAAAACAGGTGCTTTCAGCTGCGTTTCCCACAATACAGTTCCATCTTCCTGGAATTGTCACTATAATTATTGAATGATTTCAAAATTTTTAAAGATGTTCCACAGTCTGTTCATTCGATGTAAGGCTTCGATTCTGCGAACTGCTCAAAAATTTTTGCCTTGAAATATGTGTCAGAATATCTGAATCATATTTGCAATCATCAGACAAAAACCTATCGAACATGTACACTATGTGAACGATTTCCAAAGTGCTTATTTTCATCGAGTAATGAAATGATTTTGCAAATAATTGCATGTTTCGTCGAGTTTACAAATGAAATAACTAATGAAACTTTTGAGTGAGCATGAGAAAATTGAAGCATTCTTATAATGAAAGGCTTAGAGCATGTGACTTGCTGCGAAGATTTTTGCGTTGAAATCCAATATATGCGTCCATATGTGAAGCATTTTTCATTCTCCAGGGAGAAAAAAAAACGCCGAAAGTGTGAAGTTTCATCCTCAAATATGCACACTGTGTGAACAATTTCCGAGTGTGCCTATTTTCAAGTTGTGAAATAAGTCTGCACTTTCATTGAGCATAAGAAATTTGAAATGAAAATTGATTGAACAGAAACGGAATGGAATTTTCAGTTTCAAATTTTTTCCATTGAAAAAAGTCATCAAAAATATGAAGTGTGCATTGGAGGAGAAGTCGGAATGCGGAATGTTAAGAATGAGGAAGCTTTTAGGTAGTAGGAGTGCTTAGAGGATAAACGTTCATCTAACACAATGACTGGCACTTTGACTGACAATACGTTGGATAACTAGCTTTTGAGATGCTCGTTTTTTTCTGGTGACTTAAAACAATGCACTGAGCGGATAGAAAATCGAGTAAATCAATTGTGCACACATCGACCATACACGGAACTAATTATGAATGGATATACGTGTCAGCATTCATCACAGCACTGTTATATTCTAACTTTTATTATAATGAGTGTTACTAATATTATTATCATTATTAACCTTTCATAATCAGTAGCACTACTATCACAACGGCTTTTAAGTATTCAGTTCTTTGAGAAATTGATTATTTTTATTAATATTGTTATGCTCATCATTAAAATAAGAAGAGACAGGAAGATGGCTACGCTGAATTATTTTCAAGACTGGTAGCATTATGTGCTTTACTAGAAGCACATAATACTACTAGTTGAAAAAATATTGTTTTCACTGTTCATGCAAAGTTACGCAACTTTTTGGTGCATAAGAACGATGAAGAGCATGCATTATTTGAAAATGGAACGTGGGATATGATGTGAATCGAATGATAAAATCTTAATCCACTTCTTTCCGAACGTTAACTTTATCAGTCACGCATCATTCATTACCTACAAATATATGTAACAAATGAAAGAAGTAAACTCAGAGGTGGCAGTTAAGTGATCTTAAAGTTACTGTGTGATCTTTCTCGGAGAAATTCGATGCTGAACAGCACAACAGAACAATAACATACCAAATATTGTACAGAATCTGTCATTTTTAAGAATCCGAATGAGTGTGGTACTCTTATTGGTATCATCTACCTTGATTTAACATCAATCCATAGCAAAACTATCTTCCCAAGAACATTAGCATCACAGCGTTTATACTTGCATACGCTACCGTATGAGACTAACGTCCAATTGCGTTGCATTCGTTTCCGTGCTATCTCTTCACCGTGCAAAATCCGTCGACACAACTTTCCCATCCAATTATGAGTCAAACAAAAACAATTTTTCTAATATTGCTGATGAATTCGATGCGGCCACTGAACAAAAACGACAACAATAACAATGATTCTTATTGAACACTTGAGATGGAATTGTTGAAACGAAATGAAATAAAACGAAATCAATCATAAATTGCTGAAAATCCGCAATACTAAACCAGATGGAGGAAATTTTTATAGAAGAAGAAAAGAGAGACGAGGATGAATGGAAGCGATAAGTGTTTTGGAAAGTGAGGCAGTGAATGAGCAATCAGAAACTGATAACAGAGTCGACTTTAGTCTTGTCATCGTTTGTTGATAATCCAAATTAAGTTATCCAAATGATAATCCAAACAAATTATGTAATGTTATCCAAAAGTTTCGGAACGTAGATGATGCACCACAATGCATGGAATTTTTTATTCATATTGTGATTTTATCAAAATTTATCGATGTCTGCACTGATATTCATTCTTACGATTGTGCAAATTTTTGCGAGATCATTGTCATGAGATTTATTGTTCGCCTAGAAATTCCGCTGATTTGCAGTTAGGCAAATTGTGCGGCGAACGTTGAGAGGTGTGAACGTTTTCGGCATTGGAACAAAAAATAAACTGACAAAACATTAGTCAACAATCACTGAAGATGACCATTGCTTTTGTTTGCTTTTGGTCAGGTATCGCTACCGTAGTACGTTCATTCATCGCTTTTACATAAACAAAGTATTATATAAGGTGGTGACATATTCCGGTGTAAATTCGTGCCAGGAACCTTTGAATGTTCTAGTTGGTGGAATTCGAGTTGTTTTTGGGAGGTTAGTGGCTTTTGGATGTTATTATTTGTTGTTTTTACTGTTGTGATTTTGACTGTGTGTAAACAAAACTGAGAGGTAAATTATGTTCGTCGAGGCACTCAGATTGGTTTATGTAGAGTGTTGAGTTCACTGACGAACATAGACCAATCTTTGGAGGTAAAAGGTAATCCAATTCGTAGACTGTGGGCGGATGCAAAAAAAAACGAATATCGTCGCAAACTGGATTTAATTCTGCAATGGGACACACAAGTCTGAATCTTGCTATTGGTAGGAGAGCCAACAACAGGATGAGTGCGATGGCTTTGCTTTCCATCAACTAAGCGTTCAATATGGAGTCAAAATATCATCACTGAAAATGAACACGATCAAATAAATATCTGATTAATACTGACTGTAAAGAACAGATTCAACAGCAATTAAGTATACGACAGGAAGTTCCGCTGAATGAAGTAATCAGTGGAAATATTGCAGAAATAAAAAATGTTCACGCTTTTGTGCTCTATACTCTTTTGGTTTTTACCGCAGACTGCCATCTGCCTCTGCAACAATTTATGTGACTGTAATTTTTCGTCCTCTCCGATAACCTTTTAGTTCATAGCAAAAATCATGAAACTGATCAAGAAGTTCGTTGCCAAAAGTTGATCGTTTCTATTAATGGTACCAATGTGATCGCTTGAGCATTTCGAAAACAGTACTGGACAACAGTGGAATAATTACGTGAAAATCATCAGTCAACGATAATTTGTCATCCTTCTCAACATCCTTCCCTCCCCCTCCCCTTACTCCTTCCAGCTCCCTCAATTTCTCGTACACAGGGGAGTTTCCCCCTTATAGAATCATTTTCATAATGTTTTATGACCCAGCCGTTTTGAATAAACTCACTTTGTTTATTCAATATTCAGTTCATTCATTCAACCGTATAAAAAGTAGTTCTATATCAGCTAGTGTCCTTATTGTTAGAAGAAAATCAGTGTTTTGATTATTCGATCGAAGAGAGGCAAACATGCTGGCCAACATTCAGAAGTTCAATAAGACGGATGGATGACACATTAAAATTGATATCAAAGCAAAAATCCAATATGTGCCTCTAATAACATCTGATGAAAGCAGTCACACGAATGTGATAAACAAATAAAAGATTCTGCATTCATAAACGCGTCAAAAGGATTTGTGTTGATTTGATTGCTCATTAAGTCGTTACTATTTACCTTTCTCAAAACATTCCTTCAGTCCACAAATTGCTTCACTCCCAAATATTACTCAATAAAATATTCATAGAATATCGCACATCAAAAGATCTCTTGTGAACACATAACGCCATTTGTTTCTTTTTTTAATGTCAATCTTTATGCTTTCCATATTGTTCAATTGAAAATTATTTACACGTATCGTTGTCGTTTTCATTCAGAATATCCGATAAGAATTTTAGCGAAGAAGCACGCAAAAAATCTTGCATTCAGATCATCAGAAGTCGATATTTTTGAATGATGTTAATATGTTAGTCATAAATTTACTGCTGGAAATGGCCAGCTGCAGATTTGTTGGGGAAATCAGATAGTGTTATGCAATCTGATGCTGACCAATTTGAATTCTTTTGAGATAATTCGGAAGGTGCAAATCGTTGCAAATTTTTGAATATATTGCGGTTTCTTACAAATTCTAGAAGCAAAAACGTACCAACGAGAGAGATGAGAGTTTTCCGGAAAGTGATGCAACGTAAACACGATTACTGAAGATGAGCGGACTACTCAGCACACCACCACCGCAATCAACTTGCCATAACTTCATTCGATTCTCAAAAAAACGAAAAGCGTATAAAAAAGCGGAAAGTTTGACGGAAAAAAAATGAAATCAGAATATCTTGCAACAGATTGGGTGTTGAATGAAAACAGGACAAGTAAAAGTTTACGGGACAATTTTTGCGATTTGTATAGCGACTATAAATGTGCATGCGATAGCATTTCATTTTTCAAACTTCTGATAGCAGAATATTCGGAAAATTCCATCAACCTACCAAATAATCGAGCAAATAGATGCAATGGTCATGCGATCCAATCACACATTTCCCTTCACCAAGAAATTTTGCCACTGACTTTATAATATCACTCGTTTTGAATGACCACAGAATGTGACCGTTC